TAAGGGGAATTTGAGAAATATGGAATATGCAAAAGAAGGAAACGAAGAAATAAAAGCCGTGCGAAAATTCAGAAAATGTTACAATGCAAAAATGAACGTTTTGGGGAAAATAAATCCAATAAAGGTAATCTTCCACTTTTATTCTGAAAATACTTCCCCGTACAACACCTTTCCATTTATCTTTAAAAAACACTTCATATCAAGTCAGCAAGATTTTTTGTAGTGGCAGTTCCCACAATCTCCTCTCATCAGAAAATACCACAAATATTGACATTCAGTTTTGATTTTTCAGATTACCCAGCACTGTGTACAGGGGTGCGTTTCCCAGTGCCACAGACGTCTGTTTTCAACCTTGAAATGCCCCCAAGTTACTTTGTACTTATATATATATAATTATGATGGGTTCAAGGTTTGTGATATTCTCTGCCATGCAGAGTGGCTTAAAATATCATATTGCAGATTTGGGGGTCTCCGATAATCATCAAAATATGAGTTAGTTATAAAACATTATATGATATCAGAGTCTACCAGTAAGTATTAAAATTTGCCTAGGTTAGAGTAACAGTTAAAATCAGAAATACTTGGCAGTGACTTCCAGTGAGTACATACACGGTGTTTGGGTGCTTGGGCTAATAAAAAAAAAAAAAACGTTATGCGATAATTTTTAACTAGTAAAGATATTTCAATAAAAATGGAAATGATAGCTTTTAATATTACAAATACAGTGCATGCAGGGAGACCAAGTACTTCAACATGTATGTACCTGTTTGAGAACAATCAACCTTATAATATCTTTTTTTTTTACAAGTGTCACATTCAAATTACCAACTTACATCCGTTTCCAAATTTAAAGGAACACAGTGTTGGCTACCCAAGTTTTTTTTTATGTCTGACTGCATTTACTAACAGAGATTGCGTGAATTAACAAATATGCCAATAAATCACACATTTTGTGAAATCCTTTTTTCTTTTATGTGAAATGTGGCAACAGGTGCTTGTTGGGTAAAAAAAAATCATTTGTATATATAGCATCAGCTACTGTACACTTAGCAGAATGTTGTTGGAAGCCCACTGACATGGCACATTTTGTTCTGTTAAGTTTGCCTACAAAAATATCACATTATTTGTTTAAAAAATATAACATTATCACATTCAGTCAAATTTGGTGATCTTGGCATTATCATTATAGATATATATGACTATAAAATTATAAAGAAACTTTGTAGGTACATTGACAATTGTTATACAGTCAGTTTGTGTGTTTCTTCCATTCAAACTGGCCAGACTCGGCTGAAGATGACCAGTTGCACAGTTCACAGCAGTAGTGTAGTGAACACTTGGATTTTAGCCAATAATATCACCTTTTTAGAATTTATATGAGTTGTGAAATGATTTTGCTTTTCTGGAACCTGGTGCAGAGTTCACATGCAGGTGCCATGGGCTGTAGTAAGACCTTAAAACTAAAGGTTTGCTGAAGTGTTTTATGTAATGAGTCCAGCATACAAGTGCTATGAAATTCAACTCGGCATTTCTCATGGGGTACCATTGTATGTTACTTTTTGACACCAGGGACCTTTTTGGGTACCAGCATGGTCAAGTCACTGTGCATGATGTCACATGCAAACCACCTTTGAATGTAGAAACAGTAACAAATTATGATGACATCAGTATTTACAAAATAAAAAAGGATACAGTGAGACCTGTTTATCTATGTGGCAAGTAAAAACAATTTACTTTAAGCAATGCAATTTCTGGACTCACTACAGTACAAATATAATCTCTATTTGGCCAAATGAACAATTTTGAGCTCCAGTGATGATTTTTTTTTCTTCAGACACACTGGTATCAAATTGGCAAAAATATTTAGAAGCCATCAGTGGCTTGGCATATTCATATGTTTCAAGATCACCAGTAACACAGCACAGTGATGGTCCCAGGTTTTTCTGGTGAGGCAGTGATTAGTTTGGTTTCAGTGACCTGCATCAGATGGAGTCTTGTGGGCTGCCTATGGACAACATTATACTTTCTTCCCATCTGAAATTTAAATTCAGACTTCATTGGATGCATCATAAGATACGATTAAAAAAAAATAGTGGCAACTGAAAATTGATACAAGACTTTAAAATGTATGCTAAAAACATGTAGAAAGTACATGTTGAAAGACAGGAAACAATGTCATACAATGTAGGTGTTGTCTTTTAAGGAATATTACAATGTAAGAACTAAGACTACAATTCAAACCATATTGTTTCAAAACAAAAATCACTAAAGCAAGGACACACACACACACACACACACACGCATGCACACACACATGCATATGCACACATCAAACATGCATGCACACACATGAAAGCATACACACACGTACACACACACAGACACATGGACTGAGGGAAGGATGAATGAAAGACACATACCCTATAATTCCATATGACAATCTTCTTCTGGTCCCCACCACTAACCAGCTTATGTTCATCAATATGCAAGCACCTCACCACTCCAAGATGTTCTCTCAAAGTATACATCAATTCTCCTGCAAATAATGCACATTAGTCACTGATATGATTTTTTTATGTGACTTGTCACAACTCATTTTCTCTCTTATACCAGCATGCCAAGAAAAAGAACACTGACAGATTGCAAAGTCACATCCAAATTAGAATACAGATGGTTTAAGTTTACAGACAGTGCATTATCTGTCAAAACAATTAAGATCAATATCTGCAATGCATATATACCACTTCTAGCTTTTTTTCATTATATAAGAAAACTGTGACTATGGCAAAATTGGCAAAAGTGAGATGTTAGGACCACATAAGTCTGAGGACAAACCTGTCAATGCTGTCATCCTAGATTTTTATAGTTAAATCTTAATATCATGAAATAAATAAATTAATTAATTAATATATAGTTTTTATTGAGGGTAAAAACCTCAATATTAAATTTATTTATCCCATGGCCCTCAAAGTGTAAAATTCACACAATTGATTAATACTAGGCTAATAAAAATGTAATTTTGAAGACAGACAATGTTTTAACATATAATGTTAGTTGTGAATTCTTAGTTCAGCAATATCCCTTTATAACCCTAGTGAACCCCATCCAAAGCCACTGAGAAAATTAACATGATTCTGTTTTCAATTTCTAATTTTCTCATTTTTACTGTAATGGGCAAAATTCACCAGGGTCAGATTATGAAAATTAAATTTGTCTTAATAAAAGTTTTTTGCTCATTGTGTGCCTTTCACATTTTTTCACATCCATCACATCTGACACATCTCAACTACCACATTTCCTACTCTCTCACCTGCATGGGACCATATCCTGACTGTGCTATCAGAAGAACCTGATGCAATCACAGCATTGTTATACACCAAGCAGTACTGAAACATTGAAAATGCAAATCTGTATAACATATATGCAACAGCAACTTAAATACTGACACATAAAATCATCTATCTACTTTTCAAACTCCATGCAAACCTTTAAAAAAACATGTAGTACACATTACACTTGCTGTAGTACCTACCACTTCCCCTGTGTGTCCCTCTAAAGTACGCACACACTCTCCAGTCTTTGTCTGCCATATTTTCAGAGTACTGTCAGCACTTCCACTGATGATTTTCTGGTCATCAAACTGACAGCAATTCACAACTAAAAAAGGAAATATCATCCTTTACAAACATATATAAAGTTTGAACTTTGAACTTTGATTGTAAAGGGGTGCTGTCAAATCTGTCAGAGAATTTCTTTTGGGAGGAAATATTGAAAAAAAAATCAGATGATCATCAGACTGTATTAGTGACTGTATAAAGTTCATGTTTTTATTGGCAAACCTTCAGTGTGCCCCATCAAAGAGTGGACTCCATGTCCCTCGGCTATGTTCCACAAAATCAAAGTGTTGTCCCAGGAGCCTGTGAGAGCCAGGGAGCCATGCACTGCCAAAGACTAGAAAGGCAAGGAGAGATACTGAAGAAATTCTTAATTCATTACGTTTTGTTGTCAGTAAATATTCGGAGGGATATTGGTGGTATCAGCTGAAAATTAGACAAAGGCCAGACAGTGAAGCTTGCAAATAGACAGATGCTTAAGAGAAATCTTCCTGATTATTTCAAACTTAACCTGCCTTTCCTACCAAGCAAAGCTTGCTAGTAAATTTACAGTAAAACAAAAATATGCTTAAGCACTTATGGGCAAATATCACAAAATGCACAAAAAAATCTAATGACAGTACTAATTACCTGAACATGCTAACTTTCAAATATTTTTATCAAATAAAACTCCCTAGTTAAATTAGACAGCAGAGCTGGCAAGTTTACATACATATGACAAATATGATAAAACATCATACCAATGTATACAAAAAAAAAAAAAACAATAAAATAAAAATAAAAATAAATAAATAAATAAATAAATAAATAAATAAATAATAATAATAAAATTGTTAAAATAATCCAATTAAGCTAATTTTTGAAAAGAACTTGTCTTTTAACCAACAAAGCCACCCAGAAATGTTATAGAATGTGCAACAGGAGCACTTCTGTATAAATAAATGGTGCCTTACCTCTATTTCATCAGTATGCCCCCTTAAAATGTACAGCTGCCGGTCATCTGGCACACTCCAAACCCTCACAGTCCTATTAAATACACACCGACAGTTTACTTACAATGTTAAAGAACTATTTTTATAAAGGGAAAGATGAAGAAATGAAATTGACTTTATCAAACAATTCATTAACTTATTCAATGAAAATCATATGTAGCGCGTGAAAAGCAAAAATGATTAAAATTAACTCACTTGTCAGAACTGACACTTATAATAGTTTCTCCATCAAATTCTAACTTGTCCACACTTCCAGTGTGACCAAAGAATGACTGAAGTATCTGACCAGTGGTCGAGTCATACACTCTGATCCCGCTGTCTGCACAACCTGTCACTATAATGTTACCCTGAAAAAAAAAAGACTTCAATTAACATGGAATAATACATAATATAAGCTGCTACACATTTATGCACAATAAATAAATAAATAAATGATTTGTAATTGAAAAATATGAACCATAAATTGAATTTTGTTGTCATATTTTTACAAATGGACAGAAAATAGAAACAAAAAAACATGTACAAAGTCGATTAATTACTAAATTATATAAAATTGGTAATACGGCAAAAGGTCAAAAATTGTGTAAATAAGTACAAAATCCCAATACCTTGAATTTTATTGCTGTAATCACATCTGAATGTCCTTCTATCTTAAATAGGCAGACATATTTATGAAGATCCCAGATACGAAGAGACCTATCACAGCTTCCACTGACCAACACATGACCTGCATGAAATAACACATTTTCTTTTCACAAGCTCTGCACACCTTGAGATTGTGACTTAGAGTATTAGAACTACATGCAGGTGGACAGTTCATTATTCAATAAATTGTGATTTTTATGTGAAATGAATAAATAAAAATTATTATAAATTATATGCAATCAACCAGTACAGTGTCATTTAGGGAAACTCTTGTTTTATGGAACAAAATAACTTTGCAGTATGTTTGTTTGATCTTGCTTTGAATTGTATGGTATAAAGAAATAATATTAGAAAACCAAGTAAAGCAATTTTGAATTTCAACAATCAATCTTGTGGCCTCCTCTTTTAAGCTGATTAAGCTGATGAAGAAAGATCTCTCTGTGTATAAGGATATCATTAAACAAGGCCGCATGAAAGATGTTAGTTTTTCTGGTTAAATCCATAAAAATATATATACTATATAAAACATTCCTTCTGTTTTGCACAATATTTATACACATTTATCATATTTTGTATATTATAGAATTAAATACATGGGCGTAACTAGGCATACGCACGGATACACTGTGCGTACAATTTTTTTAGCCAAACATGATATTATTTTATATAAATTTAGTGTATTTTTCACGGAATATAAAAGAAAATCCTCTGCTTATTAAAGCCACCTGTATGTACAAATCCTCTGTATCAATTGTATAGGCACAATTGTTCTGACCCCCCCTCCCCGTCTTGCAAACTGAGGTTAACAATGCCTGTAACCTTAACAAGTCCTATCTTAATCGTCCATCTAACTGGAACTTCCTTTACCTCTTAATTGGAGGGTTCGGTGGCCCTCAACTTTTCTGTACAATCTTTCTTCAGAATATCAAGCGCATTCTCACTGGCGATATTTATCTCAGGTAAAAATCTGCCTGAGTGTTATTTTCAAAGAGCAGCTCGATCCTGCAACCCTGGGGGCACTAGATAAAATCTGGACACCAGGTATAAGAAGGATCTAGAGAAACAAAGGAAGATTTTTTCCTACAAAACTTCAAAGAATTTTGACACGGACTTGACCCAGCTTGCCCCTCCAAACTAACAGGGTGACATGGGCGAATTTTACAAACAAATAATTAAACTTAGATTTATCAGAGCTCTGTCGTGTCTTGGTTGGTTTTGGGAGCCATGCATCCACATGTATGGTGAATGAAACCGTATGTTAGTTCAACTCAGAGGTGGTTCCAGGATTTTTCGAAGGGGGTTCCACATATGCGAAGCTAGCCTCTTTTTAAATAAATATACCGTTCTGGGTAATACGAATATTGAAATTTTTTAATTGCGAGAATATTTCTGTCTAAATGATGATTTTATTATTAATGGAAATGAAGCTGCGATGTGTGGTACACATGCAGGGCCGTAGCCTCCGGTGGGGGCAGCTGCCCCCCTTGGAATTGAGGTGCAAAAAAAAAAAAAATAAATAATAATAATAATAATAATAATAATAATAATAATAATCGCAGAGGTAAAAAAAAATAATTGCAAAGTTGGTTTCAATTCTGTGAGAAAATGCACTCATGGCCACTAGACAATCATTCAACAATCTGTTTACAAAGGTGTACTGTTTTTAGCCAACTCAGTTCATGCCAAAATGCTCACCCTCCCTTAGGAAATGAAGTTCAATTGGCGTGTTGTGTTGAAAAAATAACTGTACTTATGGCAAAACGAACCCACAATTTCTGACTTCTGATTGAGCAACAAATAACAGTTAAAATGCACCAGAATGCAGTATTATACATACAGTTTAAAAAAATTTTCCACACCCTCCCCCCTCGGGGGCTCCGCCCCCTCGTGTCCGCTTACTGCCCCCCCTGGCATTTTGCTCAGGCTACGGCCCTGATATGCTGTAATTACGCCGTCCTTCATCTCTTGCGTTAGTCGACATTTTGCTGGGAATTTTAAAAATCTGTGCGTACAATTTTTAAAGGTCTGGTTACGCCCCTGAAATATATATATTTATCTATCTAAGATGTTATTGTACCATTAGAGTCAAAGGCAGACACTTGGTCAGAGTGCCCTCTCAGGATGGGAGCCACCAGGTAACGCCCCTTCTCCCAATTCCGTAATAAATGGTGCGTCTTTATAAAAACAGCTTTCCATTTCTTGATAGGTGGAAGAGAACTTTCTAATGGCACTGAAAATAAGAAATGTATGATTTTTGAAACTGAGCTAAACTAAGACTTTTGTCTTAAGACCTCTATTATGAAGTCAAATTAAGAGTGCATATACTTGGGATCAAATATATAACAATCACTCAACTTCATTTTTCTTTTGGTGATATTTTTCTATAATACCAAAATCTCAATTTTTCAATGGTTATATGAGTAACAGGCATCTTTCCTGCTATATAACATTTCACTTATTACCTTCTAAGTCAAATATTGGAGATGTCCCTGATATTGAGTGGCTGCTACCCTGTGAAACATTCTCAGAACACAGATCAAAGGTCACGCCATACTTAAACCATCCTCGAACCATGCAATGATGGAGCCTAGAAAAAAGTCAGTATTTACAGCTTTGAAAGAATCATTAAAGTGTGCTTAGGTAAACCTTAATAATAATTAAGGCTGAATCTAGAAAAACTGTAGTCTCCACTGTAATACACCCTGACTTACAGGGCCTGCCTGCCTATCCCATTTTAGAAATGTAAGACGAGGTACAGTACATGTAAGTTCTCAGTGTCCTCTGAAATTCAGGGTATAATCCTGTCTTTGAAAACTTTAGACTCCATACTGTATGAAACTGATAATGTCAGTTGGTATATGTAACCATGACAATAACATTTACATTTAACAGATATTTTCATACACTTTACATGAACATATTTTGAAATCCATGAAAATAAATTAACTTTCCATGGTAGTCTTCAAATTTACTTACCATAAAGAGCTTCCACTTGTCTTTTCCCTCCATAGCTTATTCACACATCCAGCTTTACTAAGCTCTGATGCAGTGAGATATGAAAGGATTTTCTCTGCCAACTCATGGGGTAATGTGGCTATGAAGTCTACCATGATAATTCATAGACATTTTGCTAACCTAAGAAATAAAATTGATTTAAAAAAGAATCAAGGAAAAAACAGTAATTTTTCAGTATTCCTTCTTCCAACCTATGTATAAGTCTCTGTTTATGTATTTTTATCTAAATTCAATTATACAGTGATTTTGATCAATTTCTTTACTATTAAAATTAATTAGATCGACAATTTACTTTCGATGTTTTTAGGAGAAACTTTTAACCCATTAAAGTACAGGTTATTTCTGGGGTGAATATATGCCATAATATATGTCATAATCTCCTTGGTAGAAGTTTATAAGTCTCTTGCAAAAACTTTAAAAAAAAAACTAGTATATAGTCTACATTTGCAAAACTAATCTATATGAAAAGCAGAGGCATTGATCAAAGTCAATATACTTAACTGATCAAAAACGACCAAGTTTGACTTAGTATTTCGATAATATTTTCACTGTTTGGTATTGACTGACTAATCTCTCAATACTAATGCAAATTTAAAACTCACCCAAACAATTTCCTCAAAAAAGTAACAAGAAGATAAGATTGCAGTGTAGAAAAATTTATGTAACTAATGACGCCTCATACTTGCCGCTTGCACAGGAAGTTAATAAGTTGTCTCGATTCCTGCCTTCAATTTGCGGAGAAGAACTTCCTGAAGTTTCACGTCAGTTAAACCTGCTGAGAGCACAAAATGCCACTGTATGAAGGGATTTCTTATGCTGGTGACAAAAATGCAGTGATCATAGACATTGGAACTGCTTACACAAAGTAAGTGAAAACATTGTTAATATCATCGTGGTTTAATAAGTTTCTGCGTACGTATTTTGCAGGTTACTCCCCGCCTCAAATTCTCAATTTCTCAAAGATTGATTGGGAGACATACGTTTTATTGATATCTGTGTTAAATGCTATGTTATTTACGTGTTTTATTGAAACTGAAAGGCGTATGTCGCTTAGAGGCACCATGGCAATGTTACACTTTGTAACATGTAACGATATCTGAAGTGTGCTAAAAGTAAAACCACGCAGGTTATTTGTTCCTCTGAAGTTCTCATACGACATGCATTGTGGTACATGTACAAGTAAGTACACGGTTCCTTCTGTGATTATAACATATTTATAGAGGGGTTCTCTTTCATTTTACTGTTTATAAACATTGGTGTTTTATGGTTAAAAGATTGCTTTTTTTTCAGTTTTTTTGCAGGAGGGATTGTTAACTCAATGGAAATTGAAAACCAATCATTGTTTTCAATCACCAGAATTAGTAATACAAGGTGAAAATATAGTACATTTAACATGTTAGATTTCATGTATCTCTCATTCCAGGTGTGGTTTCAGTGGTGAGACAGCACCAAGATGTATTGTGCCTAGTGAAATAAAGAGATCAAGTAGTGGACAGGTATTGATATGTGAAAACTTGATTGTCAGTCACTGAACAGAAAAACAGCATGTCATTTTAGCTCAGTACCATGCATCAACACCCAGTCCAACCCTTAGCTTTTCACTTTGTGATTTTTAATCTATATATTAAAAAACCAACCGTCCTTAATTAAATGAAGGATGCAAACATGTGAACATGATATATCCAAGTAAAGGCATTGTGAAAATTCAGGATAATATCATCCATTTTCCCTGTATTTCTCAAGAATGTTACTGCTTCTAACATACTTTAAAGTAGCTATGTGCCTGATATCATGTACAGTTACTAGTTGCTGCTACAAACACTGATAAGAAGCATGATATCTTGTTATTTTGAAGGTCACGTAAATTAGGACTTATATTTTTGTGTACTTAAACTTTATTTTATTCAAATTAATTATATTTTAGGTTGTAAAAGTCCATCAGTATAACACAGAAGAAGAACTTTATGAAATTTTAGTTGATTTTATACACATGCTGTACTTCAGGTGAGTGCTAACAAAGGACATTATACATGTATGTTGAAATTCATGTTTTAGTTCCTCTGATGATTTCAGTATCTCTGCACAGGCCAACATTGATTTTGATTTTGATTTGATAGTTTTTTAATGATCACAGTAACAAAATTGCAGTTACAAGAAATAAAATATTTTTGTTTCAAATGGATTTAGAATTAGGTCATACCATATTTATAGGAAACAGGGCATGTGCTTTAAAATTTTTGATGTATTAATGAAGCTAGAGATTTTTTTCTTTTTTTGTATTCAATCATCTATTCTCTTTCAGGCATGTGCTGGTGAATCCTAAAGACAGGCGTGTGGTGGTGTGTGAGTCTCTCCTAACACCCACTGTATTCAGAGACACATTGGCAAAAGTATTATTTGAGCATTATGAGGTGGGTTGTATAAAATGTATGCAGTGAAAAAAACTTTAAGTCTTATTTAAATCTTAGTGATAAAGTCAATCACTAAACTATAAAAACAGAATTTCACCAGGGATGAATCTTTAATAGATTTGAATTTTACTGAAAACATGTTATTTAATCTGTTTTCCAGGTTCCTTCCATTCTCTATGCTCCCACTCATCTAGTTTCCTTGTTCACACTTGGAATCTCATCAGGTCTTGTCATGGATGCTGGGTTCACAGAAACATTTGTATTACCCATATCCTTTAAAGTCATTCTGTTGAAATTTCCTGAACAGGATTTGTTTCAAATGTCACAGTTTTTCTGTAATATTTAGGTGTGATGCATCTAGTTTTCAGTGTCAAGAAATCTAAATTGTCAGTATGGTTAAAATGTATGATATTAAGGCCATTTATCCATTTTGTTAGACAATATTTTGAAAAATTTATAAACAAATTTGGTCTCTGTTTCCTTAACAGCTGTTACATATATGAAGGGATACCAATCCTGAAAGCATGGGAGGCTATTCCTCTTGGAGGGAAAGCGATACATAGGTATTTGTGTCCAGTAGAATTTGTATAAAACATAGAAAACCATTTTGTGTGCTAAATTACCAAGAGATATTTTCAGTTTGGTGTAAAATAAGAAAACAAAAAATAAAAATAAAACAAATATCAGAGCATAACTTACAATTTATGAACAAAATTTTGCATGTGTTTTTATTTATAAAAACAATCTGTTTGATCTGTTAACTTTCCTTCAGAACATAAAATTGATTACAATAGATTGCTCTTATTTAACACTGAATATCATAACCATATTTTTTAGAAATTTAGAGAGCAAACTAATGGGATCTGCAGTTGTCAAAACACAGGATGCTGAAGAAAGGCAACTGTGCTCTGTTGTAGGTTAGTAAATACAATGATACTACAGTGAACGTCAAGGAGAAAAGACCCATATATGATGTACATGTACCTGTGTCTGAAAGCTAGATCCACCATATTTATTCATTTATTTTTTTATTTATTGCAACATCTACCGTTATATAAGTTAGACAAGCCTCTTTTCAGCAAGGCATATATGACATCCAGGTTTCATTCACAGTTGTATGTATCACAATCACCTTTGTCACTTGCGGAAATATTTTAATTTTACCAATAAAACTGACCATACTAAGAATGAAAATGTTAAGAAGAAACTTTTTGAATACAGTACTGTGTATATACCAGTATATTGTATGCACCTGTTATATTGACACATTTATGTGTTCCAGGTTCATTATCTGAAAATATACTGGAAGACATCAAGGGTAGGGCAACTTTAAGTATTATATATACTAAATTGTGAGGTAATTGATAGATTGAGATATCACAAGGGGTTTGCAGCCATATTGACATTGAAGGGTTCAAGATATCTACTTGGCATTTAAAGAGCAATTTTGATGATTGAATGATAAAAACAAACTATTGAAATTGTCATAAGGAGTATGTGCTCAGAACCAAGATGTTTTTGAAATAGTTAAGTTCATACTAGAAAGCACTAGAATTAATTTTATTAAATTATGAATTGTTATATCTTGTCTACCATTCCAGTGCGGTGTTGTTTTGTAACCAAGATGGAGCGTGCCAAGCAGATCCAGAAGTTTATGCTGCAAGAGAGTGGGCTAACAGGAGAATCAAGAGTTGAGGTAAATAGACAACACACAGTTTGGAATTCAAAACAGTTTGTAATGTGCACTAAAATTTGTGTTGAAAGTCTTATTGGAAATTCCAAGTTTAGTTATTTTTCTAGCAGTATGGCTGTAGCAGTAGCAGTTTCTTTAAACAAATTTTGACTTCTTTCTCACTGTGGTGTTTTTCATGTTACTTGCAGGCTCCTAAACCTCCACCTGATGTAGAGTATCCTTTAGATGGAGATAAAATACTTCACATTGAAGGAAAGATAAGGTGGTTTAAATATATTATGTGAAAAAAACTCAATATTATGTCAAATATTTGAAATCAGAATTAGGAAAAAAAAAGACATTAAAGTTGAACCACAGACTTTATAGTCTGATCAAGACACATTTTGTTCCTTTCTCAACATCATCATACTTTTAGTAAATGAAATGCACTTATCTGTTGTGAAAGAAAGATGGATAAATACAGTTGTGCATATTTTTCTGTCTTTGAATTTAAATTATTTTGTAAAAAAAAAATGATTCATCATTATTGTTTTCAAGGGAAAATACCTGTGAGGTTTTGTTTGAGCAAGACAATGAAGAAAAATCGGTGGCCACATTAATATTGGATTCTATTATAAAGGTAAGATGTACCAATACTTTCAAATTGGTTAAATATTTTAATTGTGATATGAAGCTCATTTGAAATGATGAAAATGTTGTACTTGGTTATTGAAAAAATAACTTCATTTTTTTTCATTTGATATTCCAGTGTACTAAAGATATGAGGAAAACTCTGGCAGAGAATATAGTGATAATGGGTGGAACAGCTATGCTGCCTGGTTTTCTCCACAGACTACAGAGTGAGTTGTATGACCTCCTGAGCAAGAACAAATACAAGCAACAACTAGCCATCAAGAGTTTTAAATTTCATCAACTTCCATGTAAGGAGAATTGTGCAGCATGGCTGGGAGGTGAGGATACAGTTTGTTATATAATTATTATTTTAAAAAATAAGTAAAAACATTTGGTATACATTCACAATTAAGTACATTTCTACAGTATTCAGTGTATACATTATTATTATTTACATTTTTCAAAAATACTATACATATTTAATTGTTTATGTTTTATTTGGGAACTGATGTGAATATGTTTATCTAAAATCACTTTGTACTACAGGTGCAATGTTTGGTGCTTTGGAAGTGCTTCAAAATCGTTCACTCTCAAGAGAACAGTTCCAAGAAACTGGCGTTATTCCAGACTGGTCTTCTCTTGGCTTTGAAGAAGAGAGTGAAAGGGAGGAAAAACCTGCAGTGAAAAGATGAACTCACTGTAGTGACATTTGATGTTGTATGCTTGTGCCAGTTCCAGTGTAACCATAAGGATCTTGCAGCAGAGCTGATGCATCTAGCTAAAGATGAATGATTTGAAAACTCTGCTAATTTGGTTCCATTCACTTATTTTTTGCTACGAGATCCACTGTTACATACACTCCAACTTTCATTTTTAATTAAAAAATTTCTTTGAATCACTAGTAACTTCATCCTGTGTTGTCCTGCATTACATGTGCGTGTAATATAGATACATGTTTATATGTCTGCACCAGCACTAGATGGAGTCTTTTTCTCCTTGTTATCTTCTATATTATGGAGAGAGCTGTATTTATGAGCATTCAGCTTGGGTAAAATGTGTGGTCGCCGTCGTTGGTGTGATAGACTTGTATTGCTGCCAGCATTGCTGTCATCTTGAGTCATACAAGACGAAGTTAGAATCCCTTCCTGAAAGATCACATTTATATTTAGTTTATGTGACAAAGATACTTGGAGATATACGTTCTGCATTTAACATATGTTGATCGGTAATTTTACATAGATAAATCTTACATGGGTATGCTCTTTTCACATCGAGTGTTACATTTTAGCGGTACATTCTGTACGGGTACACTTTGAGAAACGGCGTGTTAGGACCTCTCAAAGTGTACCGATACAGACTTGTCACTAAAATACACGGCTCGATGTGAAAGGATCTTATGCGTTGGTGTCAGTTACTGAACCGAAGAATAAGAGCAAATATATAGAATCGTGATGGATTGAAGGTGTTAGGATTTTCAGCTTAAAATCCCATCGATATGATGGTATTTTGGCTTTCATTTAAACTTTGCACGAAAGAAATGTCAGTTTGTAAAGGATCTTGTTTCAGGTATATAAATAAACGAAGAGACTGCACTGCTTTTGTTATTTTGGATATTGTCCTTATCTAAAATTATGAAGTCTTGCTTAATCTTGACTAAGGCGGAGTGTGTCGAAGCATAAATGTGTTTTCCTTGTGACCAATACAATAGTGTTGAACCCCGTCTCCCTTATACGTTGAATTGCCTAAAGTAGTGCGTTCTTTTAACAATCTGCGTCTTGTGAAAGATGAATATGCAGTGAGAAAATAAAAAAAATCTTTTTGTATTTACCAAAACAATGCCCGTTACATCTTTGTCCATTTGGAAATGAATTGAGTGCGAAAAAATCTGATTTTCTCAAAATAAGGTTCGGCTGCGTCAACCGATTTATCAAATTTGTCCGATATAACCGCAATATTTTCTTTTATTTATGCAGATTAAAAAATTCACGCAATTCTATTTCGATGACATCTAAGACAGTATGGGTATATCGCGGTAAACGCATGCATATTTTTAGTAGTTGTAACACTGCCCCATACTTACCGAATGGAGTCTGTCTAATATTTCGTTGCTTCGCTTGAAACTGCTTCGTGGTGGTCCGATAACATTTTCCTCTCTTAAGTTTTTGAGGATTTGGTCCTCCGAAGATTTTGCACTACCTAAAATATGCCTTGTGATAGATTCAGAAAGTTTAAACTGCATATTATATTTCAAAATCACTATGTCGTTCTAAGTTTTTTGGCCAGAGCTTGGTCATTATTGGTTTTCTCATTTCTTTAAAATTCCAAATAATTCAAGAATGGTAAAAAGTATTTTACTCGAAATTTGATGAAAAGAAACTCGCATACTATCCGAGGGCTCGTAAATAAAATGACGTTTTACTCAAAGAAACGTAGATCCTATTGAACATGAAAGTAAGATATTGCGTAATATTTCGTGGTTATTAAGCTCTAGTCATGTTATGATTATAGGCTAAGTCTTCGGTGTAGATCTACATTTGATCAAATTGCTTCAGTAGGCCTAATCATCAAAGGTAAAATCTATGCTAAATTCGGTTTACTTGCCTGACATGGATAGCGGTGAGTGTACAGAGGTCAAAGGTTCCAAGTACGGACTTGAGTCAACCTGCAGCGGACGACGGGGGTGACATGTTTCTCCACACGCAATATCCTGTTCATCCGCCTCAGTCTCATCATCTTCCATGTTCGCCGCATCAATCTGCTCGAAATTATGCGCTGACTTTTTTTCATCGGCGACCTCTTCGGAGCTAGTGCCGTTACCACCGCTTCCAATGTTGTCATTTTTCAACTCGGAATCGTCAAGATGTTCAAGTATAAGATTGTCTTTCTTGCTATTTAGAGAAATTGACTTTATTTTCGTTGATTTAGATCTACGTGAAATGACCGCCCCCATGTTGTTAGCGAGAAAGTCAAACGCCCCTATCACGCGCACGACGTTCAGACGTCGCGTATTTTACGTCACGCCAGGGACAGCAAATGATGATAATAATGATAATACATTTATAAATGAAATATGAACTAAAAGTAAATTTAAATTTAAAAAAACTTAAAATTATTAACGAAGAAGAAGAATTGTAAAATGAATGAAATGCTCATAGATCAAATTAATTACGTTGTTATGGATTGTCTTTGGGTGATCTTACAGGACTGATCTACGCCTATAATGCATAGGCCTATAGGTACGGATCACAAAAATTTTCGATTAACTTAAGCATTGTATGTGCCTATTTTAATTAAAATGTGATTTCTTTATAATAAACGCCACGCATTTATTACCTCTTGTCATTGCTGCAGTAGTTAAAATATCTTCCTATATGGACAGAGAGCTTTTGTAAAATCCTAATAGGTGTCGTCCACAGCGCATTTTTCTTCCCATGATGCACAGCACATTTTTCCATTAAGGCAATTGCATGTGCATAAATATTTAATTTGATGCTGAACCGTCTCCCAGCAAATTGATTTTCATACCTACTGGCACTGGAAAATAGACTAGATCTACTGAGAAAAGAAAAGAATTGAAATTCATATTTATAAAGGTAAGTTTTCATATCACTTTTATCACATATCTGGACACGAGGAATTTATCCTACATTGTATGTATTTGATTTTTAGGGGAAGGGTGGATATATTATTCAGGAATGCGTCTTGAAAAAAATGGATGTTTTGACTATTTTGACAATCAAACAAAGATTTATATAAATAAATATGTACATCATACTTTAATATTCGTAGGTCTTCGTTTCTTTAAAAACCTCAAAGATGTAGATTTTGGACTTGGTATAAGGTTTTCAATATTAGCTTTAAGAACGAAATACACAAAAGATATGCCAATTAGCGAATAACATAGATAACTTATTCATAATATACTCTTATCAAGCAAAAAGACGGATTCAACGCAAACCTGAGAATGTTTTTTGAGAAAACTGCACTGAAGGGCAGAATATCAAAATATTTAGAGAAGCCTGCATTTAACATGAAATTTGATTCTGCATTATATCATGCTGCACATACGAATATCTGTTGCTTGAAGGTCAGCACCAAAACCACCGGGCAAAAGCCTAGGATGTCTGACATTTTCAAGGGGGAGGATATTTCCTTTGACATAAAATGAAATATGCACTGTAGAATTAATACCTAGTACGTTTTCTTAAATAAATTATATGACAGACGAGGAAAACGTCATTAACAAGAACCCCAATTAAAGCGTATCCTCTTATCCTCTTATCACTAGCACCTGAGCTGGTCTTGAAGATTGAGCTGGAAGCAATATCATTCTACAGCATTTGTATTACTGATAAAAATATGCTGGTGTAAGATGTTTTATACTTCTTGTCATAAAATATTACTGGCAACGCAATAAAAAATCGCATACTTAGACTTCAGCTTTCAAAAGCATTGCAAAGCAGAAAGGCATTTGGATTACCTTTATCTATAAGTTGGTACCAAGGTATGGTTATTATGTCATGGTATTACGATGGCTGGAAGTGTGACAACTATTATCTTAACACGGAAACGACATGTCATTATATTCAAAGACCGTGTGCTAGCTGTCATGTTAAATTCACCAAAGCAAGTTGTTTTTTTTTAAATTTTTATCTTATAATTCCATAAAAACAAAAAGGAAGCTTTCATAAGCAAATTGCAAACAAAAAGAAAAAAGATGAAGAAAACGAAAATATTGAAGCATTTGAAGCAATGAAATCGAAACAGCGTTGACAACGACTTGTGTGTTTATATTATCAACCGATCTTTGTTTTGGTCATCTAATTGCATTCTTGAAATATTAAACCTTTAACCGTAGGGCTTTACTCTGGTTGTTAACGGTCTACAATTGATGTGAACATGCTATAGAGTCGCCACATAAAACAGCAAAGCGATAATATTCGCATTAGACGCAGTTCCATCGTCATTATGACTATTAACTTTTCATCCTGTATGGAGGTCTATTGTTTTCAGCCAGATTTCCATAAACCGAGTGGAGGTTTTTCTTTATTTTTCTCTATGTTTTTATATTACAATCGTTACGGTAATAATGATAATAAATATCTTTGGCATATAAACAACTGGTGCACAATATATAAAAATATAACGATGAATCTTTGGTATTATTATTGTAACTGAATTGTTTTAAGGTTAAGAGCACATTCGACACAGCCGCGGTCGACCCTGGAGCTAAAATGATGTAAAAAAAATAATAATGTTAACAGCTCATTAAAAACAACTGCAAGATGTTCACACGCTAAATAAATGGAAAGTGATATCTTACTCGCTGCTCGTTTGTCTAAAATGTTACATTCACGGCGAATAGTGACAGAGTAGAAAGGCAATAGATGGTTCAAATTCAACATATTTAGGCTGTATTAATTCATAAAAATAATTAATTCATCTCTGCTCTATTTTACTTAGATTAACCTTAAAAAAGATAAGACCAGGAACATAGTTGAATATCAGTTGATATACAGATAATGTATGTTACTAATACTTTGCTGTCGGTGATTCAATATCAATTGGGTGCGGTGAGATTGGCTGGGAAGATTGAAGGAACTCACCTGTACTCAACTGAGCCAGAATTATTAAGTTAAGCGTTGTTACTTTATATTTAGGACATTTTTTTTACATCTCTATGTCTCATCCTCCAGCATTGTGAATTATCATGCGCATTTCCTTAAATGTTTAAAAGTACTCAACTGGGAAATCGATACGGCCTCAACTTGGTGTATATGATGCATGTAAATAAACTGCAATCTGAGTAAACTGTAGACGCCTGGATACCAATGTATGCCCTAGAACGTGAAATGAGTCTGCGGGTTAATTCTATTTATCGTCATTAAATATATCATCCATAAGCAATTAGCTGTCACAGTTTTCCTAGGGGTTTGGGTTTGGTTCACTTTCAGACCAGTTTATATATATATGTTCAAATCTTGGATTTTTCTGAATCTAACATATCATTATTGGTATCAACATCGCCTTTGTAATGTTGTGTTACTTGTGTTTTTAACGTGTCAGGGTCTTTCTGCTATGTTAAAAACAAATATGCTCATAACGTTCGGAGTTTCATTTTAAGATAAAAATGAAATTATACTGAAAAAAATCCGATGTTTCGGCTTCTTGATAGGCCCTACTGACGGCGTCGGCCTTTCATTTGCAGTGGAAAAGTATTTCACTGGGGGCAAAAAAGGTTCCGCCTCTATGATTAACGCAATGTATCCCTTTAGAGAAGATATGATACATATCAAAAGTTTGATAACTTCCTGCGGAAATGATATATAGCATGACCAAAAGGGCTAAATTGCGAAACTTGTCGACATGAGTTATGGTCATTTGATTTATTGTTTTAAATGAAAATATCTGCTTTAGGTCTGGTTGCTTTATGTTATTATATGCACAATAATAGGATTTGAGGATATCTCTTTCCCGGCACATTAATTTCTCTGTTTGATCCTAAATTGCCCAAGCATCAGGAGACCAAATTAAGTTATAATTATATTTTTAAGATGTTTGCTAGCTGGTATGTTTGTACCTTTAAAAAACATTGTATTTACGTGAAATGAGTATATATATATATATATATATATATATATATATATATATATATATATATATATATTTTTTTTTTTTTTTTTTTTTTTTTTT